CGCTCCACACGCACGTCCTCTTCCTTGTGGCTCAACTGCAGGTTATGCAGTGAGGAAAGATTTTGGTGCCGTTGCACCCATCGCTCAAAGAGCGCTTCGTTGTCTGTAGTGCTTTCGCCAGCGGCGGGCACTACAGGTATTGTCCGCATTGCAAGTACACGAGAGCCACCTCGTTGTGCCCTCAGACAAATGCGATAAGTTCCAACGGAATTTCTTGTGGGACCAAGAAACGAACTCGAAGAGCTTTCTGTGTGGCAAGTTCATCATCCGTTCTGGCCGGGGGTCCGATGATGTGGACGCGTAACGATCGAGTTACCGCGTCCTTCGCTTCCAAAGCGGAATCTGCACGGCGGAAGTCATATTCCACACGAGGGTCAATGACCGACCGTGGATGAGCACGCTATAGAGCCGTCTTACGGGTAGCTTCAAGCTGCCGCCTCTGTTCCCCGTCGAGGTTATTGGTGATCACACCACGTGCTCCGTTCAGTTGACGAGAAGTCAGGGAACGGACATGGGGTCCGCAAGATACGAGCAGGGCTCGTATCGCGCCGCTGGCGCAGCTCGTCTTCCTCGGCATCCCATGCGGGAAAAGCTCATAGTCGACAACATCCTCAACGAGGCCACTCGGCACTGAAAGGGCGCGGCACTGAAAGCCAGCGCGGAATGCGTCGTTTGTGCTCATCGATCCTAAGATATACACCCCTCGGTGCTGTGTACGCGCTGTCCGACGTCGCACCGAATGCGAGAGATGAATTTGGGCTCTGCCCATGCTTGCCGTCAGAACCGGCGAGACTTGGAGATTTTGGTGTCATTGACACAGGGCTCATCGAGCAAGGAAGTTATTTGCTCCAACAATTGGAGTTGCATTGTCTAACAGACACGCGAGCCTCGTTGAGGCAATGATTGATTGGAACTGTAAATGTTCTCAATCTTAATGGGGGAGGGTGTAGGGGGTTACACGAACCCTAATAACCGGGGTGTCTGCGTGTCACACGAGATGTGCATAATGTGACCACACACCCAAACAAGAATACGGTAGGGGGCTAGGTAGCCAGTAGTATTTAGATTTTACTTTACATAGTTAGTATATTTAGGAGAATCTAAACTATCAACATTTGGATAAAAATAGTCAGTTTCGATTTTGAACAAAAGTGTTCGTTTGCCTTGGTAAGGCTTTACAGTACTTTTAGAGGCAGCGGATTGCGATCCGCTGCACTAATACTTGGTTCTTGTAGAGATCGAAGGTCGGTGACCTAAAGACGCTTCCTCAAGCGCGAAGCTACGGCAGCCCCGCTGCATTTTGGTTCTGACGAATCCCACTTAAGAAATGTTTTCTTAGGAAACATAGAATCTCAAAAAGTTAAAGGCATTTGATTATACAACCCCACGTCACACGGTAATTTACGACATTGGCTCATCCCAGTCTGTTAACCACATAATATGGTGCAATTTATGCCGAAGTGGCACCTTCCCACACATCACAATTAATAGAATTCGAATTGTGTTTAAGAGCGATAGGTATACGAGCTGTTAAAAAAGAGCCCGATGAGAGCACCTATATTGGCTCTATCAAACTCGTTTGAGCCATTTAACATTTTCTATGGCAGTTCGACCAATGTCATGGGTGCCGTGGAGCTGCCGTAGCTCTATCGCTTTGCCGACCTTCATTTTAAACTTAAAACCGGTACGAGTGTAGCAAGTGTTAGAAGAACGGCTTACAGCATACGTTGCGCGATCGAATCTCCGGACCATAGGACGACGTGATTGCGCACACGATGACGCGTCATGATTGCTCCCAGAATAACGCCATAGGAAAGGCTTAGAGGTAGCTTGGAGTAGCGAACTAAGGACCTCAATATACTCACTTCATCTTTTTTAACAATTAGTATTGTCGAGCTTGAAGGCAGCTATGTAGCGATAATTACACTAAAAAGTTTATTTATGTCTAATCGACTCGGCAAGTGCATCTAACTTTTCAGCACTTGTCTTGTGTACCCAACTAAAGCGGGAAATTAGCCCTTGCATGAAATTTATACTATTATGAATAGCTTTCATAAAATTTTGCAATGTAATTTCCATTATTATTTATCTAACTCAAAGAAAATCAAAACTAAGAAAAATCTATCTATCATCGTAATGAAGTGATCGTACAAAAGTTTATAGATTGAGACGCAACGACTTACCCACGTGATTTCTGCGAGGCTGTTTAGTCACCGTTATGTGTACGGGATGGAATTGTTTTACATTGGTGGCGGGAATAGGAACGGAACTAGACGAGGCGCTGCTTCTTTGCAATTGTGGCTGCTGATGTGCAATCTTCGACTCGCTATTATTCGAACATTCCATGCAGCGACATAGTGGTGTACAAGCAATACCATTTTGAAAACACTCGCAGTATTTTTTTGAGCATTTCGATTTTTTGCAACGACATCCACGCATCACGACTGCACTTGATTTCTGAAAAATAACTTTAATGATTAGAACTAATAAAAGAGTCGGCAAGCATGATACGCAGTACCTGCGGTAAAAGGTGAAGAAAGCCCAACGATCTCGTATCTTGAGACAGTGACGCGAAGGAGAAAGCGCGTGGATCGTTGCTTAAATAATTTTGAATGGCCTCAACACGTTCAGTCTGATGCTTGCGTCCATTCTTGCAGGAAAAGCATGTGCAACCAGTGTGACAAAAGCCTCTGGAGCTGAAGCACATGCAGTACATTTTTAAGCAACCAGTTTTGCATCCGCAGCACATAGACGAAGATACACTGGATGTGTGGATCTGCTGGGCATGACGCTGCAATACTCGTTGACGCTTAATCTCTCTGGGTGTTTCCGGTATGTCTGGTAGGTTTGTTGCACTCACGACTGACATTGAGCCGTCTTTGGAATCAATACACTTCTCAGTAACGTCTGAGTGTTTTATCTGCGGCAAATTAAACAAATTGGCCGCCTCTAGATCTGTAAGACAAACTGGCAGCACGAATTTTGGACCATAGCGCTTTTCTAATAATGCAAGCATCATATCCATCCAAGCCAAATTCTCACTATCTTGTTCTGTAAATTGAACCTTAAGCTTCTTCAACTCCTCCACTTCGTCACTCGCCGAGGCGACCGGACGTTTAAGACCCACCATCATCTTATCGCTGGTTTCCGAAGTCTTTGCAGTCACAACCTGTCCGAGTGCTTTCTTGATAACGGGTCCGTTTGCAAGTGTTTGATTCGTTTTATTCAGCATTGACCGTCTCACAACATTCACTTCTGGTCGAGGTCGGTTGCTGTCGATGCTATGCAGTACACGACGAAGTTGAGGAGCTAAACTTTTCACTTCCTCTGTCTTTAAAGCAGATTGAGATGCAGATTCAAGCGCCTCAATCGGTTCCCTATTTTCTTGCATATGTGATGAGACTAGAGTTGAAGGCACAGAGTGTCGACTCATTGATTTGCGCGCGACCAGGGAGTTCAGGAACTGATCCTCATTTTGAGATTTTCAAACTTCCACTTGCCGCGAAAGTTAGGTTGGCTCGGATTGGTGGAAATAAAGTGCTTTGAAAGATAAAATTAAATTATCCGCTACTTAAAACTTTCTACCATTAACTATCATCCTTCAGTGCCGCGCATACGCAATCGCTTCCACGTGTTCTCGCGCACAGCATTCTGTAAGAGATCATAAATTTGATTGCAACCTTCAGAAGCCACCTTCATCAGACTTTCAAACAATTCGAGAGGTAATTTGCACTCCATCTGTAACAGATTCATTTTCTGTGTGCGCGGATTTAAAGCAATCACCATCTGCGGCGAACGGGCGATTTCCTCCGCGTAATTCAAATCTGATAAACACAACATGATAATGAGCTCATCATACTTACCAAATTATTGATTTTACGTACCGCACAGCATAGTCTGCTGTAAATATCCAGCTGAGGATGCCACTACAAAGTCATTAAGAGCAATACCCGCGTCAATAAGCGCCAGAGTAATGGCATTTATGCTAGCTGGCAGCTCTCCGCCATCAGCGTGCAGCACTTGTAGAAAAATGTCGATTTGAGAGCGAGGATACAACTGAGTCTGGATACAAGCCTCAAAGATCTGTTTAACAGCTAGCGACATTTCAAGCTTTTTTCGATCACCAATGCGCTGTGGTTTTCGCTCTGATGTCGCAAAAGCCGCTTGTGTAAATTCACAATTGATTGTCGCGCGCGGCTGTGTGTTACTTGCTACATTTCCTGAGCCAGTTCCGACAGCTGCTGAACCACTATTTACAGAGCCTGCCGCCGCCGTACGTAGCTCACGGGGTCCATAAACGACAGCCACAACTTTGGTGTTGCCTTGTTCATAGTATGAAGACCCGTCTACGCGGGAGAAGAGACCAAAGCGTGTACGAATGCGGCGCACTTCCTCACTTCGACGACCATCTACGCGGAGACCTGCGACGGAAATGAAGTCGCCACCAGTTAAACCGCCTAGTACACTCGCGGTACCTGCCTTGGCTGCCATCCAGCGATTATTTAGTATTCGTCGAAATATACCTTGAAATTGCTTCTTAAGTTTAAGAAAAGGTAGCTTTATATACCAATCATAGGGCAGCATGACAGATAGTAGGTATCTATCCTCTTAGAGTCTGCGTCGACAGACGAATAGTTTGCGCTTCAGAGACTCTTAAATAACTAACGCTGTTAAAATACTCTGCAAATTCAAAATTCATAAGACTATACAGGAACGATATATACGCGTTATGCTGTTTCTCATAATTAGAGTGTTTCCGTTGTTAATGTGCATTGTGCAGCCTCGGAGTTCTCCTTTAAGAAGCTCCGAAATCTTCAAAAATGCTGATAACAACTATTTACCATTATCCGAGTGTGTTTTAAAGTTTGCACAAATGTATTGTATTGCAGTTATTGCGTTTGTGCCAAATGTTTAAGCAAGACCACAGTGCTTGCCCCGTTACAATATCGAAGAGATGATACTTCAATTAGGAAACTTCATAGGACACGTCGACTACTTGCCTTTCCGTAGTGCACTAATCAAGTGCCCGATCGTGACTCGCGGGCTGAATGTGGAGTGATACGTAACCCACTGAGTGCTGCTCAAGTATTGGAGCAGATGCTGCGTGCCAGGAGTGGCATGGTAGGCCAAGGGCCGAGGCATCGAGGGCAAGGCCCCAGTAATGCGCGTGGAGTGTCATGAGCACTGCTCACGTTTCGAGGCATTTGCTGTATGCCACGAGTGACATGGCCGGACGAGGTCCGAGGCATCAAGGGCGAGTACCATTGTGATGCGCGTGGGGTGGCACGTAATCCACTGAGCACTGCTCACGTTTTGAAGCGGATGCTGCATGCCAAGAGTGACTTGGTCGGACGAGGTCCGAGGAATTTTGGGCAAGCCCTTCTGATGCGCGTGGAGTGGCACGTTATCCACTGGACAATAACTGCGGATATAGCAGCTCTTTATCGGATCTTGATAATAACATCAAGGCTCCGATGGAGGAGGGAGTGGGGACACTGGACGACGCGGTCTCGATGAGACGGCGAAGCCATATGTTATCTGCAAGACACAGGGCGTCGAGTCTAATCCGAAGTGTTTCTACCGATAGCGCATAGCTATATACCCTTGTCAACAGTATGACGGGAGAGGAAGACGGCGACGTCACCCTCTAGGCTATTCCGGCGGTGGATGCTCTTCTCGAGCTGGACGGGATGTCCTTCGAAGGGTTTGGCGGTGCCTTGAAGGCAGGCAATTTAACCGATTATATATAAGATATATAAGACCGAACGCCGTCGCTTCTGAATGAAGCCGTCCTGGAGAACACCCAGAGGGTGCTGAACGCTCAAAGTGGATCATCGATCCTGAAGAACCCCTCGGATCCGTACGATCCTTTTTGGTAAAGGAATTTCAAGACATCGTCTCCAAAGACCCGTTATCGGTCCTTCCTCCGGATCGAGGCGTTCGGCTTCCGAACACAAAACGTGGGTGCTGAATGGGGAGACTTTCTCTCACGCACCATTCCAGCGTCGTGCTTTGCACGGGAAAAGGCGCCAATGATGTCGCACTGCTCCTTGTCAGAGGCCATTGGTGTGTTACGCAGTATTTGGTTCCCGGAACCAGGTTAATCGCATGATGCACAGCAAGTGGCGTATCGCTCACTATTACAATAAGCTAAACGTTGCCACCATTCCGGCACAGACGCTGGTTCCCTAGAAAGAATAATCTCCAGAGCAATATGGTTAGATGTACAAAGTACAGTGCACTCAAATTTGGTCGATGGGA